CACCTTGACGAGATGTTGACTTTCGTTGGTGCTCTGGGTGTTCTCCGGCTATCGACGCGGGGTCATTCCCACTTAAATGGCCACCGACACCCCGCCGACGGACGCCGGCGAGCGTCGTCGCTCGGTTGTCCGGTCGTCCCCGGAGGTACCGTTTTCGGGGTTTTATTCGCGCGCGAACGCGGCCGCGGAGCGACGCGCGGCCGCCGCGCGGAACGCGATCATCGAGTGGTCGGATTGGACATCGGATTCCCATCCAACGCGTCGGACTCGTCTTAGAACGCGTCACTACGGGTGGTTTCTACGGAAGCCACGCTACTGGGGGAGCCTCCGCAGAGCCGGAGCCACGGCTTAGTGAGTTTAGACCACCTATCATCATCCAGCTAAATAAAACTGCTGGTTGTGGTGGTCCTCTCCCAGCTCGCCGCTTCCCCGGGGTCCGGGGTGGCGCGGCTTATATTTTTTGGCCCGCCCACCACCGTCCTTCGGCACAAATGAAGCACCCGCCCTACCCTGCCCTCCTCCATCCCCGCTGAGGTGGCTGCGCCATCCAAGCGCGGTCCGTCGGCCTTCATTCTGGCATCTTTAATTGAAACTGAGCTTACCCGCCCCTTGAGGGAGGATTTTACTTTGCTTCCTTTAGCTCAGGCTAGTGGGAGATACGAAAGGCCAAGTGGACGGAAATATTGTAGTTGCGGGTTTTTAGTATTCTAGCTACTTGGGTGTTGTAAACGATGAGCGCTACGGACGACGGAATCCGATGCCTGGCGGACGCCATATCAGATGTCGCGCCGATTCGATCGTTGATTACTAACAGGATGAATCTGAACTTGCAAGCGGTGACTGCGCGCGAGAGCGAGGATATTTTTCCTGAAGTTTTGATCATGGGGGAGGTTTGTTTTGGGATGGGGTTCCCGAGTGCTCGCTTCGGTTTGGCGTGCACATGGCACTTTCAGTGGGACGAGCCCTGGGTTCTCCTCGAGGCAATAGCTTCTGCCATTCAAATTTGATTATTCTTTTGTAGGGTTTGTCGCATGGCCAAACGCAAATTGCAGTTGCATCAGAAGAACATACTGTTCGATGGAACCACCCTCTTAATGTTCACTTTGCCGTGCGATCGCCTCTTGGTTGGCCTAAACTTGTCCTAAGTGTCAATGAACTTGACGAGGTACGCAGATAGCGCCCTCACACGTGAGTAAAACAAATTGATACTCAATAGCACGGACGATCCCACCTGGCTGGTTACGGCTTTTGTAATTTACCCATGATCTCTGGTTCATCGCAAATTACCATTAGCTGTTGGCGTCCCACTGGTTCGATGCGGGATGAAGTGGCATCGTTTTTCATGGGCAATACCGCGAATCTGATTAATGATGATATTGTCTGTGGCAAAGCTGCTTGGAAAAGCCGATGCCGACTTGTCACTGAGCCCGCGGGAAAGGTGCGTTGCGAGACTATCTCCCAGGGGGAGACTTTTTGCTGGCAGGTGCAAATAGACGTCGAAATAGTCATGCGCCATTGCCACGCACATACAGGAAGATCTGTGTAAGACTATCAGGCTAGTTTCCGTTAACCAGGCATCCAGGTTTGGGCGAGTGCACTGCCACAACGGAACCGAATTCGCGGTCAGGGCAAACCCAACGGAACCGAGTCCGCGGCTTACTCGAACCGAGTTCACGGACAGGGCAAACCCAACGGAACCGAGTCCGCGGCTTAGTCGCCCCCCGGGCGCGCGTATCTATGCCGCGTGTACGGCCGGATAGGTCACTAGCTTAGTAAAAGCAGAGGGCCGGGTGGCCACCAAGGCGATGCTGGAGCCGCAGAAAGAACCGGCCTCATCGAAGCGACTGGCGACCTGAACGGCCCAGGTAGCACCCTGAGCTACCCCTCTCTCACCCACTGCGCTCATCCTGCTTCTACGGACTGTACCTTAATGTCAAGTTGATGTACGGGGCTTGGATTCTTTACACGTGTTCGCTCTCTCCATTGATATTGGCATCTAACTTCGGAGGAACCCAAGAAATCACCGCAGGAAGCAGGGCGCGCATGGAAGAAGTAGACGCGGTCGTTGCGAAACTCGAGGACAAACTGGGAAACAACTGGGCAGAGTTCACATCGTCACGCAACAGCTTCGGCGTCGAGGCCAACAGCATAGTGCGGAACCTCGACTCGTGGCGCGGAACCGAACAGGAGTGACTCTACGTCCTCGAGAAATGCGAAGGTCACGGCATAGGCTGAACGGCCCCGCCGACGACGACTCTGACTGAAACTACTCAGTCCCGACTCAGTTCGACCTGAGTACGACCGCGCCCCCGCCCCCGACAACCACTCCAAACGGCAGCCCCAGCCACTGTGACCCCGAATATGGACGCCTCCGTCCGCCACGCCTCCTAGGGTAGGCTAACTGTAATTGTTGTCTCGATCATCCACGGGAAATCCAGCGACCCGCAACCGCCCCCCATACTGAGACTGAGCCGGCTCAGTAGGCTCAGTATGAGCCGCGGCGACCGGTCGCGCGGCGGCCCGGAAGAGGCCCCACCCGACCCCGCCGCGCACCCGCCGCCGCCCCACGGGCCCTACGGGCTCCTCGGACAGGGATGGCGCCAGACCCTGCGGCCAGACCCGGGGCCCTTAAGGGTGGCTAGGGAGGGGGGCAAGCCGCAAACTCAGCCTCGTTGGGTTTCCCGTGTCCAGGGCTCCCCCGGCAGAGACGGCGCCAGGAGAGGGGCATTTAAGGGCGACTAAGGGGCGTGCGGCTCAGCTTCGTTGGGTTTCTCGCGCTTCCAGGGTGCGGCGGGGGGGGGGTCGCCGCTGGGGGTCGCGGGCGCAGCGCGCGCGCGCCAAGCGGGGACGCCCGGGGGCGGGCAAGTCGCAAACCGAGTTCTGGGCAAGTCGCAAACCGAGTTCTGTTGGGGTTTCCGGGGGCGGCTGTCCACTCTGAGGACCTGCGGCTGTCCACTCTGAGGACCAGGTCAGCAAAATTCAATTCGGGCATGATCTGCGCTGACGACTAGGACCCCAAGCTCTTCATACTCTTGAAGCATGGCTAAAAAGTCATGTTCACGTACAGCTTTCTTAATAGCAATATCTTTGATTTGTTGGAAGCTGACAGTGTGTGTCCCACGTTGACTTGCATAATTGCACAATACATTGAATGCTTTGGACTTGGGGTCAACAATTGCTATATCACAGCCATGATGACCGAGAGAAGCCTTTGATACATGCGTTAAACGACTGGCCTCATTGACATCGTTCTGATTTACAACGTCATCAAACCGAAGTCTTGCCAAGGCTTGAGACAAACGAAGAATTGAAAGAAGTTGTCGCGGCGTGGCGGCACCTTGGCCATCATCAGCCGCAGCCTGGCGCCTATCTACGTAAGAGTCAATTATTGCATGGCTGAGATTAGAGGGCACGTGCGGATCGAATTGACGCGCTTGTGCAACGTACTGACGAATAAAAACTGAATCATATGGTTCGAAGTCCAAGTCAGGATTGGAAAGAAATCTGTGCACGTGCGTTACATGGCGGGCTAGTGCAATATCAGCCTCAACTTCGGGTTTGTCAAGTAGTAGGAATAGCAAATCAAATCTAGATAAGAGACTGTTTGGCAGATTGATATTCTCTGCCATGGTTTTTTTTTTGTTGTATCGCCCGTAAAGAGGGTTCGCAGCGGCTAATACAGCCGACCTTGCATTCAAGGTCGTTGTGATACCTGCTTTAGCTATTGAAACGGTTTGCTGTTCCATGACCTCGTGAATAGCAGTACGGTCGTGTTCATCCATCTTATCAAACTCGTCTATGCAACAGATTCCACAATCAGCAAGCACCAGGGCGCCGCCTTCGAGGGACATTTCCGAGGTTGTGGCATCCCGCACGACAGCTGCGGTTAATCCAACTCCTGATGACCCCTTTCCGGTGGTATAGACGCCGCGTGGACTCGTGGATGCAATGGACTTTAACAGTTGTGATTTAGCAACGCCAGGGTCGCCCATGAGGCAGATATTCACATCACCACGTAAGCGAACGCCATCACCCAGAGTGCGTGTCACGCCACCTACTAGCTGCAGCAATAGTGCTCTTTTCACATCCTCGTGACCAAATATTTCCGGGGCAATTGACCGGGACAGTCGAGAGTATGCATCAGGGGAATCCGCAACATCGTCAATCAAGGCATCAACCTTGTCATCTGCCTCGATTTCGCTATAATTTTTTTTTTCCTTATCGACTGACATTGCCTCCAAGAAAGTATCCGAAATGAGACCAGCTTTCATACCTCGAAAGCCAGAGAAACGTTGCGGGAGAAAAATGCCGCTAAGGGTCACAGTGTCCCCTGGAGCACATTGGCGTGTCAATTCACCACGACAGTGAACAGTAATTGATCGAGGAACATGTCCAACGGGAACGTGTAGAGGCAACTCCTGTACTCTCAACTCTTGGTACTTAACAAACTTTGATCCACGCGTCTGAGCAAATAATCGGCCGCCCATCTTGTTGGCATTACATCGTTTCGAAGTACATTTTGAAAGTGGCAGGAAGTTTTTTTTTCGTGAAACATCATCATATACTTCACACCCACAAGTCTCACAGGTGTAAGTTACCACTTCAACTAACGGTTTGACGTCTGAAGTACGTGTCACAATCCCACAAACTTTCACCAAACGCCCTATATCACACGCGCGCAACCCACGCAGTGCACCAGCAGGACTGCTCGCAGTTGGCAGTAGGCGAGTTTCATGTCTTCTTAATAGGGCAGTGGGGAATTCATCCACTGTAGATAGTCGATTACTCTCGAGAAACTCGCCACGTTCTGACGCAATAGAATTTCGCTCACCGGACGCCTGCATCACTGCCATCTGATGTTTTCGTTGCCTTTGAAGTTCATCGAAAACGTCCACACGTTCGGGGGAAGCTGAATCCATTTGTTGGAGCATCTCAGTTGCGATTCCATCAAATATGTTGACATAGCGTTTGGCATTTTTAACCACGCCGTGCACGAGGTCCTGCGAAAGTGACTCAAACAAGGAGTGTCGATGGGGCGGGGGATTGGGGAGATGGGATGCCGCACCCCAACATCGTCTTTTAAGTACTGGATTAAATCATCAAGTTCTATGATAAGCACACGACTCTGGCGCAAATTAATGGCGTGTAGCGCTTGAATATACTTGTCTTGCTTGCTTTGTGGAAGGGATTTATCGCAAAAGCGAGAAAGAAAATTTCGCAGCGTATTGGTCTCCACGTCCATGATCAAGGATTATTTGAATTCACGCTTGAGCTCGAGATTAGACAAGGAGTACTAGCAGGAGCTCCAGGAGGCGCCGGCGGTCGACCATGTTAGAATCCGAGTATGCTAGTATGAAGCACCAGCATAGTATAGCATGAGCATAGCCAGTATAAGGCAGACTTAGCATAGCCAGCATAGGCCAGTATGAGCGTCCCAGCATAGGGAGGATAGCATAGTCCCGAGTTAGGGTAGCATAGCCCCGGGCCAAGGAGCGGAATGTAGGCTCCCTAGGCAGCTGGCTTATCGCCAAGCGCACTTTGATTGTGCTTAATCACACTCGCGTTCTGGCCTCGATAGTCGCCGTTTATCAGTCGACTGCCGAACTGAAATGTTGGCAAAATTGTTGAATTATCGCCCCCGCCAGGCGCGCTCTTTGAGTAAGCGCGCTAATCGTATCGTGTGAGACACTCTTCAGGGTGTGGGGTCGCCGGTTCGGGTTGGAGGTCGTAATTGAATGTTCTACAAAGCGCTTACTTGAAGGGAAGCATCACCTTGGGTTATTCGTTTTCAGAGTTTGTTTTTGGCCTTGCCAATGCGCTCTAGATTATGTCTGTTATGGCTAACTAGGAAATAAATAGAAATAATAAGTAGTACAAGCGTGGCGTTATGTCATGGAACGAATTGGCAAAAGACATGACAATCATAATACCTCTTCGGGAGATAGAGGTGGTGTGCCCTCAATCCAATGTAGACTACGCGCGGCACGAAATGAACTGTTTCGGCGTCTGAGCAAAGGTGTGAAGGGTAACGACATCATCCTCTCCAAATTGTCGACTGACGGAAAATGGGTGGCCCTATTCGATGGACCAACAAAGCAACTGGACATCACTTGGATCACCTCGATGAATTCGAAGCCGCTGCTGAGCGAAGTTTATCGTGTTCAGAGCACGGGGCCAGGGTCTGCATTGCTGCGTGATGTCGCATGGCTTAGTGACCCAGAAGCACCACAAGTCATAGAAGTTGCACCGAGGGAGGTCGTGCTCGGATGGCCGGAAATCGATGGCCGCCAAGCGGGACTGCTACGGAGGGAGATGGCCCAGGGCGGCGCTGCATTTCAAGTCGAGGTGTGCGAAGGACCAGTTTGGCAACCAGCGAGAGTGCAACAGCGCCGAATTCTCTTGGCTGCCAAAGCGGCCGAAGATTTAACTAGGGGGGGGGGTAGGTCTACTTCAGCAGACGATGACCCTGTTCCGATGGATGGTCAGGGAGCATTTATGGCCCTCGAGGCAGTAGACGGTGTTGGTGGGGCACGTATTGTAGGTCTTCTGCCCGCAACTTGGTACCACATGCGCCTTCGGGTGACCTACGACGGATGCTCCGCTGCCGTGGGGCCGCCAGTCGCTGTCGCTACGAAATGTGGTCCGCCTGACACACCGATTCCACGACCCCAGGTTGTCGAGGAGCTTGTTGATCCTGGTAGCAATTCGACGGACGTCCTCTCGCTGGTGTCCCCACCAGCTGCGGCTCGCACACTAGGATGTTTAATTCACGACATTTCACCCACCACAATGGCTTCTTCTAGCGTTGGCCATCGCCTCAGAGTTTCGTGGGTTCGACCACGGACGAACGGATACCCAATTCAGTACTACATACTTCAACAGAGGGAGCTAGTCTTACCCCCGGTCTCGTCCGCAAAAAATAGGCGGCGGGTTGATGAGCGCACAATCCGTACTCTGCTCCATCCTTATTCCATGAATGATCCGCAAGTTACAGGGGAACCACTGGGACAGAGAGCGAAAAGCTCGACATCAAAATGGACATCGTGGCGTGAGGTTCATGCCAACTTGCTCCCAGAGAGTCTCGTGCGCGCTCCGACACGATGCCCAGCCTCCATCACAGCTGCGCGTCATGTGCTGGGACTAAGCTCTTCCTCGAATATCTCAGCAGCCTTTTCCTCGGCAGATATGCTCCACAGGGGCACTGAACCACCACCACGATTCATCGCTATCGAGTTTAGAGTTGCTGCCGTCAATGCACTGGGAGCGTCGAAATTTTCTCAGGTCACACGTGTAACTGAATTAGAGTGCCCGACATCCTTTCTACCCTCCGTTCGCAGCAACGAAGGCCCCAGTCATGATTCCCAATCTTCAGATCGGCACAAAAGCAGGCGGGTTTACTCTTCTGTGCTCGAAGCTGAGCTCGAGGAGCTGGCTTCGGCCCTAGAGTTTCCAGTTTCCCTTGGTCTAGTAAAAGATGCCCTCGATGCCACACGTGGAAACTGCAGCTCACTCTTGAAGAGGACACATCCCCCCGTTTGCCGCAAAGAACAACCAAAGCAACGAACACTGCCATCGAAGACAAACCTGGGACTGTACTCCCCAGCACAGCGCATGGTCATGGATGATATAATTGGACGGCCGAAGTGAAGGAACTGGCGTGCACTTAGAGACAAGTCTACTTTTTGGCAACTTTTTAGCACACATGGATACTACACAGAGCTACTCAGGTAGGATTCGGTGGGCTATCTTGCGCCGGGCAGGCACAGCGCAATCACTGCGCGAAACAGCCAGTGCGTAGGGCTATCCTTCATTACTCGGGGGGGGGGGCTCGTCGCCCGTGTGCGCGGGCCATCGCTGTTGGGTTTGCTCTGGGCATTCTGGGTCGATGTCTATTGTGGCTGGAAAATGGTGGTATGGGGATCGCCGCGTTGAGTGGGTTTCCCGTGTCCACAGGGGCAGCTCGAGTATGTTCTGTCTAAAATCGAGCATAAATTCGCGAAACTGGAGTGGTTACCACTCACTTATATATATCGGTACAGTAGTTTTCTATAGCGGCATCGGTAAAGTCAGCCGCTAAAGTCAGCGCACTCAGGAAAGTACTCAGGGCCATTGGCACTGGCAGAGTAAGCTGGGGGATAGCTTATGCCCTCTAAGCGGAATGGAATAGGGCCGCCTAGACATCGCCAGTGCCGGGGCGTCGCCTGGGCATCGCCGTGGCTGTGCTTTCACGGCGGGCAGGCGCACTTATCCGAGCACGATACCCTCATACTTCTGCTGGAACCACTTGATGGCGTCTTCTTTTTGAATCTTGTGTTTGATGCCGACTTTACCTTGGCGAGCTTTGCGGCGCGCGACACGGAACCCAGGACGCTCCAGGCAGACATAAAAGTCCATGCCGTAGATTCCGGTCGTCGGATCGTACTTGATACCAAGGTCGATGTGCTCGGTGATACCGAATCCAAAGTTGCCCGTGATCGAAAAGTTCTTGCGATTAAGCTCGTACTCCTTGACCTTCAGACCACGCTCAAGAATTTCCATTGCTTTCTCGCCGCGAACCTATCTGAGAGAGCTCAGAGTTAATTTATTGCGTCCATCCGGGATGCTTAGCCGTGCACCGGGATGCGCAGTGACATGTACAGCAATCTTCTCGTTCCGCCGAATCGAGAAGCCGCGACAAGTGTAGCGAGCTGTGCTATCATTGATAAATACGGGGCATAATACGGGATAAACGTGCCTTTCGAGTATACGGGTTCTTGCCCGGTGAGTTGTTCGAGCACGCGCGCCGCGCGTGTCAAGCGGTCGCCCGACTCACCCACGCAACAGTTCAAAATGAGCTTGCTTACCTGTGAGAAGGCGGTCATGGAAATCAGATCAAGGCACGGGTATCGCCTTAATCTCGCGCATCTTATTCTCGGCCATGTTTGCTGGATCGCCGAAACAAGGGCGATCAATTGCAGGTAGTGGACCGTCGCCTAAAATGTCCGTCCACATGGCCTTCGTACCAAGGGCCATCATCAACCAGCGAGGCGTCGGACTTGCCTGCTGCGAAGTCTTCGATCCCTCGCCTCGCTCGACCCGCTTCCCGCCACAGCGAACCGTCTGCAAACCCCAACTTGTTGAACGCCCTGGCAACCTTGGCTGCTTGGCGATTAGAGCTGTTTAAGTGAAGTTCATTATCTTGGAAGGGATAGCAACAGACCCTAAGACACGCAGCAAGCCGTCGCTGGTCCTCGTTCCTGTCGCCGCTGAGCAGCTTCGGTCTGCGGGCCTGCTCCTTGTAGAGCGAATACTGCCCTTGGGGAGTCTTTTCCCAGTCCCTGACACTGGCAGAGATGGGGGTGCCAGAGGAAAAAGTCGCCGAGCTGCCCCATTAGGCCTTGGCACGCCCGCTGAAGCGCAGGCTCGATGTCCTAGGCAGACTTAGCATAGCCAGCATCAGAGAGGTTCCCCCAACGTTCCCCCAGCCGGGGAGTTTCACCTGACTTGCAGTCAGGCATTTTTGGACGCCGTCGCCAGCCGAGAGCCGCAGGGCAAGCCGGCCCAGCTACGCAACCGGAAAAACAGCGCGCTGTGCGTGTGCAGGTCGGGTTCGAGACCAGGTTCGCGTGCTCACCCGACTCTCACCCAGCTCCCGGTCGTGGCCCGTCGCCACGCCCGACTCGCTGCGGGGGAGCAGAGAGGTTCCCCAAACGTTCCCCCAGCCGGGGAGTTTCACCTGACTTGCAGTCAGGCATTTTCGCGCTACAGAGAGCGTTTAGCGCATAGGAGATGGTAACATTTCCCAACCACCTAGGAGGCGGTTCACTGAGCATAGGCCAGTATGAGCGTCCCGGGGCCCAGCATAGGGAGGATAGCATAGTCCCGAGTTAGGGTAGTATAGCCCAAGGAGCGGAATGTAGGCTCCCTAGGTAGCTGGCTTATCGCCAAGCGCACTTTGATTGTGCTTAATCACACTCGCGTTCTAAGGGCGATATTCGCCGCTTTATCAGAACTAATAGGGGCTCTGACCACGGTCGACCCCCCCCACAAGTACGAAACAATTGCTAACGATACCGGGTGGTCCCGGGGGCGGTCACGACGCGTCCGCCCCAGTCCGGGGACGTCCGCGAGGGACGGCGTCGGCCAGGGGCTCGGATGGGACGGCGTCGGTGGTGTGGCGCGCGCGCGCGAAACGACGCCCGCGGGCGAAACGCGCGCGAAAAGCGGACTCAGTGCGCCGCCGCGGTCGTGATCGCGCGCTCGGCGGCCGAGGTGATCGTGTACGTCGCCCGAGTCGAGCTTTCGGAGAACGCTCCTGCCGTTCGCGCGGTAGATGCGGTCGCCGACGGTGAAGCGGCGCGTGTCCGCGCCCAGAGGCGCACCAGGACGACGGGGTCCCCGGGGCGGTACTCCTCGTTGTCGTGAATCCGCGTCGCGCGGTCGTCCGCGACGACGTAGCCCTTCCCGCCGCTCCCGCGCTGCTCCATGACGCGCGCGAGCAAAAAGGCGTGCGTGCTGCCGCCGCCCTCGCGCTGCGTGCGCCGGTAGTCGCCCGTCTCCAGCGCCACGAAGTCGCCGACGTTCAGCGACTCCGCGAGCGTCCACCGACGGCCCCCAACTAAGGGCTGCCCCGCGGCGTCAACGACGACGGGCTGCCCGTAGAACCGGCCACGTTCGCGGCGCACCTTCGGCTGTGCGCGAAGAAGTAGAGAGTGCGCGCCATGGTCCAAAAACCATGATCAGCAGACCATGCAAACGACGCTATCGACACCGATGTCGATTTCGAGCGGCTGTATCTGCGCCAATTGATCTGCGCCGAAATCGACCGATGGTCGATTTCAGGCGAAGCGCTGATTGGCTACGCAATGGTTCCAGCGCTTCTCGCCGCTGGAGGCGGCCAGGACCGCCCCCCGCGGGCGCGCCCCCGCGCCACCCCCGCCCCAGGGGGGCCTGGGACACGTCCGGCCAGGCGCCGGGGCCGAAGACGTCAACCCTGAATTAACCGGAGTTTGCAGGGGGAGTCGACCGCGACCCTAGCCTGCGCCAGTATTGTACTGTACCCATAAGGCGATACACGTGGGTGAATCAAAACTGCGGGACGTTTTCCACTCGTAAATACTTTTCTCTTCATCTGGAGTCACCTTACTATTTTTTACGCCAGAGCTTGTGTCCGAGAGTCGAAGAGTTAACATAGCTTCCTGCGTCGCTCTATTCTATGCTAGGCGGGGGTGGTTGAGAAACGCTGCACCATGCCACTCCGGTGAGATTTCGCCTTAACATCCATTGAACGCAGTGCCGTCGACCGTAGCCTGGAGATCAAGAAGAAATTATCAGCGAGGTAGGCAATTCATACATGATCTTGACTTCAAATCAGATCGTGTATCTAACAGGTCAGATCGGGTCAAATGCGTGGATTTGCATCCGCATGAACCATGGGTGCTCTCAGCCTTGTGTCTGGCAGTGTGCTGTTCGAGGCGGAGTATTTTGCATTGTACGATTGTAGGTACTCGGGGAACATTTTCCTCTGGGAAATAGAGACCAGCTCCCTCATAAAGTCATGGGAGGTCTGCGAGTTGCCCGTTCGCTCCTGCAAGTTTATTGCGCGTCGGTCACAATTTATCTGTGCATCCGGTGGGTGACTGCCACAGAGTGATTTTTTGCATGAGACATGTAATTATCAGATGATATGCGGCTGCGTGTCTACAATTACAACACAATGGAAAAGATCAAGGACTTGGAGGCACATGCAGACTATATTCGTTTTGTAGAAATTCATCCTATCATGCCGTACATATTGTCATCATCGGATGACATGTCAATGAAGCTTTGGAATTGGGAGCAAAATTGGGAGTGTGCTTCGACATTTGAAGGCCATGCACACTACGTGATGATGTGTAAATTCAACCCAAAGGACACCAACACGTTCGCTTCTGCATCCCTGGACAGGACTATTAAGGCAAGTTATGCCAATGTTTTACAGACACGGATAATGTGGTTTTATACGACTCAGGTTTGGGGCCTGGGAGCACAACAGCCACATTTCTCCCTGGAAGGGCATGATCGAGGTGTGAATTGCCTCGATTATTACCCAGGAGGTATGCCCAGAGCTTGCTTTGCCAGCAAAGTTTGAATGCGTGTCGATCGCAATATCTCCAGGTGACAAACCGTATTTGCTTACGGGGGCGGATGACAAGACCATAAAGATCTGGGATTACCAGACGAAGGCCTGTCAGGGCGACCGGGTCTCAAAGTCGCAGCTTTTGAAATAGTTTGCATATCTCTCTCTCTCTCTCAGGTATCCAGACACTTGAAGGGCATTCAAACAATGTATGTTCGGTCTTATTTCACCCTCGCCTTCCGGTGCTAGTCTCAGCATCAGAGGATGGGACCGTTCGTATTTGGCATGCCACGACATACCGTGCAGAAACAACATTAAATTATGGGCTAGAACGCGCATGGTCAATAGCTGCTGCGAAAGAATCAAATGGCCTAGCTATTGGCTATGACGAAGGCACGATACTTATAAAGCTTGGTCATGACGCTCCGGTAGCTTCACTGGACACGTATTCGCGGTGCCTCATCAAGCGCCTACCATTACAGTAGTATTGAATTTGTGCGATTCAGGCACACTGGAAAATTAGTATGGGCGAACAATAACGACATTCAGTCGGCTTCCCTGAAGGGTCTGACTGCTGACTTTTTGGATGGTAGGCATCTGCGTTGGACAAGAATGAACAACACTTTAAAGTACTCAGTCACCAGACACCATCTTTGTTCAGGCGAAAAGCTAAGTTTGGCCGTGAAAGATATGGGATCGTGCGAAATATTCCCGCAAGTTGTTCAGCACAACTGCAACGGACGCTTTCTTGTTGTCTGCGGCGACGGCGAATACATCATATACACATCCCAGGCCCTACGGAACAAGGCATTTGGTCAGGCTCTTGATTTTGCGTGGTCTGCCGTGCTCAAACGTGTCTCCAGTATCCATTCACATTTTCCCTCACAATTTTTGCCAGGTTGGAACGGGTGACTTTGCCATTCGCGAATCGTTGTCGCGTGTAAAGATCTTCAAGAACTTTAAAGAGCATAGAATCATCAAAGCCCCTATGTCATCATCAGAAGGCTTATTCGGGGGTGCCTGCCTTGCGGTTAGGGGTCCAGATTGTATTTGCTTCTTTGACTGGGATGAAGGTGCTTTCCTATGCAAGATCGACGTGCTTCCATCTGCAACCTCCAGAGACAAATATTCAATAACATGCACCTTGTATTATTTGACCCACAGGCAGTCTATTGGAACGATACCAAAGAGCTTGTACTCCTTGTTTGCGAAGACCTCGCTTTTGTGCTCAAGTATGAAAAAGATGCCGTGGACAACGCTATTTCTGAAGGCGCTGTCTCTCCAGAAGTTGGCGTTCCTGGCGCGTGTGAATCGGAGTATATATTTATCTATCTATCTATTTATCTATCTATCTATCTATAATGTTAATCAAGCTACATATGTAACTTTCATCAACATTAATCAAGCTGTTCTTCGCTATTTCAAGGCTAGCATCCAATAGGTTCGAACCAGAACACGAAATATCCGGCAAGGTTGAAAAGGGACAATGGGTGGGAGATTGTTTTGTTTTTTCAAATGGTGCTGGGCGACTTAACTACTTTGTGGGGGGGAATACTATGACTCTAGCACACCTCGACCAGCAGAGCACGGGGCCTCTTTTCATGTTAGGTTACTTGCCAAAGGAAGATAAAGTTTATTTCATGGACCGTTCTCGAAATGTCGTTTCCTACCGGGCACTTTTAGCTGTACTTCAGTATCAGACTGCAGTTGTCCGTCGCGATTTCGACTCTGCAAACACCCTCTTACCCGCAATCCCCGAATCAGAACATTCATCAGTCGCGAGATTTCTTGAAGCGCAGGGCTACAAAGATGTCGCGCTTCAAGTCTCAAAGGATATTGATCACCAATTTGATCTTGCGTTAGAGTTGGGAAGGCTAGATATAGCAACTTCACTCCTTGATGATGCTCCAGCAAATTCTAAGGACACAACAGAATCAACAACGAGGTGGAAGCGCCTAGGCGATCTTGCCTTGGCTAGTTGTGATATGGCACTTGCAGAACGTTGTGCTACGAATTCTAAGGATCTTGCGGGTCTACTCATGTTGTACACCGCGACTGGTGACCGTTTTGGTGTGTTGAAATTGGCAGAGGATGCGGTGGCTCAAGGCAAGTTAAATATAGCATTTGTTTCGTTTTTTATTCTTGGGGAGGTCGAAAAGTGCTTTGAGCTGTTAATAGACACCGATAGAATCCCCGAAGCTACACTGTTGGCTCGAACGTACCTTCCGTCGCATATTTCTCGCTCGGTGTCGCTATGGCGTGAGGATCTCAAGCAAGTGTCAGAGCGTGCAGCTGCCGCCCTTGCTGATCCTGCAGAATACCCTAACTTATTTCCCGACATTGATTGGGCGCTCAAAGTAGAAGATGTGTTCAAACAGAATCGAAGCAAGGTGGTGCCCGCTTCTGAGTATCCTACTGCGAAAGAAGATCTCGACCTTGATCTCATTGCTCTTGTTAAAGAACAACACAACACTAGCTCCAAACCGCATTTGGAACCGGTAGGGCACGATATGCCGGAAGCACCTTCCGCTGAAGTCTTGGTTGATCGTAGCCAGCTAAATCAGATCCCGTCAGCTCAGGCTGGAGACAAAATAGTAGTATCGCATGTAACAGAATCCAGGCCTGTCGACGGTGTAAACAGCGGACCAGAGTTTAGCATGACCGATGAAGCCGATGCAATCCTAAATGATGATTTTGGTGATGATGATGACTGGTGAAAACTAAATTAAAGGAAATCGCACCAGTTGTGGAGGAGTAATTGCGACCATTTCCGTGACTAGACCAAGCTTTAACCTCGCAGACGCGGCTAAATCAAGGGCGTAGGCCCAATTGAAGGCAGCACCTGGCGCTGCCGAGCTAAGCGATACCAATGACAGCGACGCTATAACACGACTCGAGAATAAATAGGTGGCTTGGGAGTGGAGTTTGCACCGTGTGCCTTGAATGTAGAGTCAGAGTAGAATTCGGAAAGTGGGAAATTCGACGCGGAGATTTGAGGGTCCGGCCGTTGGCCATGCGCCTACGCATGGCGGAGATTATTGCCAAGTCTGAATAAAGACTGAATCGGACGCGGGGGTGCTGGAGCGGGATGTTCACGTTGGCGATTTGAATGCGGCTGGAAATGGACATGAGAAACGCAGCGGGACTAGCGGAAGTTAGCTCGCGCTCCCCCTGCGCCCC